AATATAATTAAATGGCGCATCCAGGGTTCTTCATTGGCTTTGAAAGTGGCACCCTGTGACTTTCTCTCCTGGAATTCAATCGGTATTTTCAACACCAATACCAAGAAATGGACTTCTTCATTTCTCACAAAATTTCAATGAAATTGGAGACGACTCCGCTGTAAGCGACCACCTTCCATGTTTGCGAAAAGCTGACTAAAAACATTTTGGACGCAAGCATTGTATATTTAATTTGTGAAGTAATTTTGTCTTTACCTCTTTAGGTGCCTTTTTCTTCTCTTCTTTTTTCTTTACCACCTTCTTCTGACAAAAGAGTTCTTCCTCCATCTGAAAATCCGGCTGTACCTCCTCCAAGGACAAAACCCTGGCCCAAACAGAATTCCTTTGTCTTTGAATTATTTGTGCCGGTAATTTTTGCCAGGCCAAAGTCCTCATTTTAGTACTGGGTCTATGATTTGGAACCACGGGACAACTTTGTGATCTTGCGAATGATCTCCCGTCTGTTGCGGTGAATCCTGCACCTGGTGGCGCTGACATAAGTCCCCCAAATGGTGGCGGAGGTGGCACTCCGGGAATGCCAGGTGGTGGTGGAACTCCTCCCATTCCAGGCACCGGTGGGGGTGGTGGAACCCCTCCCATTCCAGGAAGAGGTGGTGGAGGAGGGACACCTCCCATTCCAGGAAGAGGTGGTGGAGGAGGGACACCTCCCATTCCAGGAAGAGGTGGTGGAGGAGGGACACCTCCCATTCCAGGTAATGGTGGCGGTGGAGGGATACCTCCCATGCCAGGAAGTGGTGGTGGAGGAGGGACAGCAGGTACACCAGGGAGTCGCAGAGGATCAGGAATGTCAGCAGCACCACCTGGAAGAGGTGGAGGTGGCGGTGGCGGGGGAGGAGGAGATGTAGTGGAACACATTTGCTGGTCTTCCGTAGACAAGGAAGGAAGACCATTACACGTAATTTGTTTGTTTTCTGGTATCGCTGTTAAAGTCGTAGAGTTCGATGATTGTTCCTCGTTCACAGCCGGCAAAGCATTCCCGTTACAAACAACAATGTCTTCCTTCGTATCTTGTGATTCAGGAGGCGATGGTGTTACGTTTGCGATGTGTTCTTCCCCTGCCTCGACGACGGCTTCTGCTTGAGAAGGAGTTTCTATATGAACAGCACGTCTGACGAGCTTTTCAATGACATCCCACATAAGATCACCAACAGGCGAATCATCCTCGATGACCAACAGGCTTTGAAGAACGTTTAGTAAGTTCACAGCTTGGGGTTTGTTACTTACCTACAGACAAACATAAGCATTAGAATTCCTCAGTCTAAAGTCATGAAACAGCAATTGCTGATTAAAATACTTGAATTATAACTGGATATCCTGTGCTTAAAAGACTTGATATWGACGTCAAAATATCTTCTTCTGGGGGTCAAAACAAAAGCTTTTTGATCTAATGGAAACTGAACCCTTTGTTTTGTCCTCCAGATGGAGCAACACTCACATTTGGAATGCTTTGGCAGAACACAGAGGACACCTCGTTCTGTTTCGAGGTCAAATTCAATTCCTTGGTTAACTTACCCTCTTAAATACAGCATGAAACACGTCTAGGTGGCTTGTCAAGTCGACGCCTTCTGGGGTCAGCTGTTCATCATCATCATCAAGTCTACTTTCCTCGAAAACGTCGAGTTGAACCAAGAGATCATCATCGAGGTCTTCATCTCGCCTGGAAATATTCATCAACAGTTTATATATATTTTGGGCTGCAAAGAACATGAGTTAATAAACCCCAAAATATGCGTAAACCAATTCTTACCTTAGTTGAGTTAATATTTCTAGTAGGCCAAGACCTAAAAAAACAAACGAAACACTGATAGATCTATGATAATTACTGATGACTTGAATACAGTAAGGATACTGAATATCCACGCTAGTAAAATAACGAAGTAGTTGAACTACTTATTACRTAACGGCAAGAACCTTTCAATAAGATCCGTAGATCAGTATCAAAATTACATACAATATACGCAAAGCAAGCTAAAAAAAACAGTGCAACGGAACACTCGCTATAAATGTATATACGCATGGATACCCTGCAAGCCTTTCGTAGACTCTCGAATTATTTAACGCAAGAAAAAAACCGCAATACTAACCAATAAACTCGTTGCGTAACCGCACACGCTGGTCAAAATCGTCTGTAGAAATTAAAATTACGTTTATAAACGCAAGACAAGCGGTGCTGTAAGGTATAACCTCAGCATCTTTAAGCTCGTTGATAATCAAGCTAAATCTGTATCTCTGTCCCTTTGTAACCTGCATGAAATCAATGTAAACAAATAATTGAGTGCAATTTATTCTGCATATCTTAAATAACAAAAAATGCTTGTGTTAAAGGAATACGTGTTCTATAGAATGCTAGCTACTAGTTCAGAGGGGGGGGGGGGGGGGGGGGGGGGGGGGGGGGCAGGGATGATACAAAAAACAAGCACGCACTCTCGTAACCAGCACAAGTTCTGAATGTCATGGCCGCAAAAAGATTTTTTTTAAATTCATCTTCCTTCCTTTCTCTTAGCGTTTTGTTTTGTGCGATAACCTTAATGACCGTTCTCAGAKCTCCTCTGGACCGTTCTTGAGTGTTTGTCTGTATTGCGACATTGGATGCCATTCAATAATGAGCTAAAACATGACAACGCCCTTTAATATTACGTCTAGTTAAAGGGTCTTCTGGGTACGTTGCAAGTAAACGAAATGATAGTTATTAGAAGTCGTCTAATGATGACTTGAGAAAAAGTGCTGTGTGATGTTTTTATGATTAAGGTTGTGTCGTCACTCATTCATTCGATTAACTTCATTAGCATATCAAGTATTAATCTGCTTAGCTTAGACCATGTTATATACACCATGTTATAATATCAATGTCTTAAATATTTGCAAATGTGTTTGTTTAGCGTATCTTCGTGAATCCTGATAACTCTTTACAATTAGTACAGAGAGACAGAATGTATGTTGTCTTGACACTATGGCCTGGATAGATTTTTAGAATTTTAAATCGGCGACTTGCAGACTCCCAACATCTCGAAAAACACACGAACTCAGTAGGACAACTTTGATTAGACAAAGAGTAGTGACAAAGATGACGATAGGGGGCAAAGTAGTAATGTGAACTGGATCCCATATCAAACAATGATACTCGATCAAAATTCATTCAAATGGCGTCAGTATAACAAACTAACAGCAGTGTGCATATTGTTAACCAACAAAACTTATGCTTCTGAATTAAGCTAACTAGTGGTCTGTCTTTATACAGCTTTTAAAACTGCTCAGAAATTATTAATAAGTTGGGTTAGATGCAGGTACAATACAGTGTCACAAAATTGAAAAACCCAACGACTCTCCCTTTTTGTGAAATCAACTTTTGAGTCAACTTCAAAGTGCTTATTGTATATGCCACCCCTCCATATACCAACTCCCTCTTTCCCCTTGTTAACKTTGACTAATATACTATGAAAAGGGATCATTTAGTGTGTGAACTTACTTTGTAATTTTCTAATGCATCTATTGCTAGCTTGTAGCCTTGCTCCGAATACAGACACAACGCAGACAGGAGCTCAAACACTTGTTTTTTGATCATTGTATTATTAGTGTCCAAAGCTGTTGAATTGAAGAGAAACTTTAATGTTAATATCTACTACAAAACAACRACTACAAACATCAATAAACCAGCAAACAATTAAGTATGAGCAGATATTTTCTATTAATACTGAAGGGAATAAACTATTCGACAATTTACTACATCATGCTTTGTTTCATTCCCGGCCAAGTCTCAGTTTTATTCGAGAATATATGGTAAAGAAAGAATATCAACTCAATGGCGTCTTCCACCAAGACAATAACCCAACAATCTTCTCCTTGCCACCAGCCACCTCAATTTCGGTGAGAGCAAATTCTTTGAGGAGTTTTTCGACGAACTTAGGAAATGCCATAACACACACACTTAGTTCTGGAAACAATTACAATTTGCTTATATTCCGTTATCTCTTTCCGGCTTAGTAAAACGTATCCCATCGCGTAATGTTTGTAATAAGGCCATCGCACGCTTCGTTTTAAAATCAATAACAGCMTTTGCGGTCTTTTTTATCTAATCTATTCAGTACTAACGATTGTTTATTTCACCATAACCATATTCCATCACTCTTTGATCTCCGCGCTAAACTACTTGGACATTTTATAATTGTAGTTATGTCGTGGGGTGTCTGATTAATTTTGCTATGTACATTAATGTGATTATACCGCACACGACTTCCCAACAATAGCAAAACATGGAAATTGAGTTCAGCCATGATACAGTTGTTTCAAATGCCTGTTTTGTGTCAATGCAAAAGTCTTTGCTATTATTTTCATTTCGGATTTTTATAATTCATTTATCGATGAAATGAAAGATTTGTCTTATATCCCATAATATGCTTCGTATGCCCTAGATATGCACTTTTTAAATAACCTTTCTGAAAACTGATATGCAAAAATTGACTTGCTTAAGTTGTCWAATGGCTAAAAATTATAGCTTTTAGAAATAAGATGACGCATTTGAGAACACTGTCTTCAGCATGAATAGATCTTTAAAGGCCTTTCACTTGCGTGATCAAGGTTTGCATCAATTCACGTATTTGACATTTAGTACGTAATGATTCTATTCAGAAAAGATTTATGACTGGCCACAAAAAAAACTTCACTCAGCAATAGCCCAAAAAACCTCTAAAAGCCTCATGAAGAATTAAGCATTTTACACCTTATTATTCGTATATATTCTAATGTCATGACAATGCCACTTTCGGTATGGAATCTTTCTCAGCGCATATGAAGTATAAGGTTCAATATTCCATCAATGTTTTTCTGTTTATAGTGATTATTTGTGCATCAATTCTAATGTTCTTGTTCTTCTTCAAGTTAACATTTTACAATTTGTTTGATGATGTCTTTATACAAGTGTCGAACGGTTTTAATCAAGTTGGTTTGTTCAGCTAACACCACTTAGAAGTACTACTCATTATTGACATTACTATTAATAAGACTAAAAACACCTGTCGACTAATAGCGACCTTTTTCGACATTGATGAATAGCTTAAGGTGTGCTTTTTGAACGTATCCATGCCTATGTGCTTTTTGAATTCATAATGCTAGTATCGAGATATTGCAAAAAATTGTTTATGAAGGAACACAGCAGTAGACTGACCTATTTGTTATATTATGATTGAAAAGCCTTAGATAAAACCATCAGTTTAAATCCATCGTTGCTGTATCAAGCACCGGAGACACACTAACACACTAACTAAACTGGCAATTTAAAATAGATGACCTGATTTACTGACCATAAAAAAGTACAGTAGCCATAGCTACTTTCTTGTCACGGTTTTAACTAAGAAAGCTCTCATAAATTGTCGTCACCGCGTGTTAATCTATGTGGAATATAAGATTATTGTCAAAGCTCAATATTGTAAGCAACACCTTGTGAAATGAATATTAAAGCAAAACACCAACATTACAACTTACTATTAATCGTTGCTATAAACAATGAATGGTTACAAAAACAGACAGACAAGAAAAACTGAGAAAAAAGGCTGCACTCGTACTTTTCTCTAAGCAAAAAGGGATATTTTGTAATCACCTAACTATTTATCAATACAAGATAGTCAGCTGAAGCAAACAGCAAAACTTTAAACACATTGCTAAAGATTATCAATGCACAATACCTTTGACTAGATGTCTAGAAAATTGTTTATCATGAATCATGTAGTCTAGCCCTGCCTTTGAGTTCATCACCTCTTTGATGCAGTTCACACATTCGAGCTGTAAAAACGCATCAACAAACGATAGTCGTCTGCCGCTGAGTCTTACTAGCCCTTCAAATAAAACCTCAAATCCACCGAAACTCAAAAAGCCCTCTATCCACTCTTTTGAGCTCGTCTTCAGCTTAGTTTTTAACCCAGAAAAGTTCTGTATAGACGGAGTTTTAAGAAGGCGGATACATAATTCTGGTTCTAGATTAGTTGATAACGACCAGCTATCAAGAGAAGTACTTTTGTCCACAGTGAATTTTCTCCGAATATTTTTCCATTTACTTGATGGCAACATCTTGCAGTGTGTTTTGGATTAAAACCGTTTTCTCGGCGAAAGATCTGTCTCTCTTGGGTAAATAAATCAATAAACATATTCATTAGCCATTGTATGAAGGGTTACTTGGTTTTGATGTCACGGGTTCTTATTTGACTTGACTGCCATTCCCGTTCGATAGATCACTAATGAATGAAGGAGTCTAATGACAATTAAAGAGCGCATCACGCAGAAGTGTTGTGAGTCACAATACTATTATTAAAACCAGAAGACTTTGTGTGTTGTTTTACGCAAAAATATTTCAATTAAAAAAGGCCCTTGACACCTGTCAAGAAGCAATTGTTTGGTAATGCTGGCTTTGTTAGCTTTCCTGAAGACAGTCTTGTTTTGTCTTATTAACCTGCAAACGCTATTTGACTTTCATTCGCAAAACCTCAGAAGAAACTATTCCCTGAAAAGGAGCCATCTTTCTCATGCACAAATGCCTAAAAATGTCAGTCGTGCCAAGAGCCAAGACAGGAGCCAAGACTAATATGTTAACTTTTTTTCCATCCTATACAGCCGATCTTGAAAAGGATGCAATGTGAATTATAAAATATTCACTTTCAGTTCCTGTAAAAAGGTCTAGAATGTCAGGTGTGTTTTAGTTGATTATAAGGTATATTTAAAATTATATATGGACATTAGAAAATGTTCCACGCGCAGAAGCTGAATATATACATCAAGACACGTGACATGTGGAACATTTGAAACATCTTTTTAGATTGAAACATTTTCAAGATCGGCTGTCAGCATATAATAAGAATCAATATTTCAAAATGATAAATTTTCTTTTCCGTCGTGAAATATTTGATAACTTCATATAATTGATGACGTCAATAATTGCAGCCTGGCCTCTTTCATTGTGTACAAAAATACATGACGGGATCACGCTCAGATACCGTCTAGTAGATGATATCACAGAAAATCTCATGAAACAAGTCGAGTTTTATCCTCCATTTATCGTTTTATTTGCACACTTTCTCACTATTTTTTGTTTTGTTTCGTGTTTTGTTTGTTTGTTGTTGTTGTTGTTGTTTTACGCTTGAAGGTACTTGTCGATCCAATACAACTTYCCTTTGTKTTTAAAATTCATGAAAACGGAAAACGTTGTTTGGGATCGAACCAAGCCATTCTTCCAGACTATATTCATAGCCTATCAGTTGTGCTGTAGGTCAGGTACATATGGAATTAATTGTTAGCGGAAGTATGATTTTTTAAAATAGTCTGCAACTATAAAACTATTTATAAAGCTCTCATTATAAATAATTAATCCGCGCCCTGTCGTTGAGAGGGATTTTTGGCGCTTATAAAATTAATTTTCACCGCCAACAATGTTGCAATTATAGGAACTCAAACACTGACGGGACAATCTACGACGATCAGAGCGTATATTATGATTCAAAACAATAAAACAAAACCTAACAGTTGCAAGTATAAGCAAAATGTGTCAAAAAGCAGGTTTCAATGTCTTCAATGAGTACTGCTAGCTCCGATTCGTGTAGCCTGTGTAGGGACTCTAGGGGAGGTATAATACCCTCCTTTCCCGCTCCCCCTCACGTACAGCCGCTACGTAGACTAAGATTCGTTTTCCATTAGTTTAGTTGTAAAGTCGGACTCTTTGCTGAGAGTGTCTTTTTTTATTTCAAAATAATATTTTCATCATCACCATCATCTTTAACATTCATCATTATCATCGTCCATTACCATAATAAGAACCAATTGCCCTATTGCATTATTGCGTCACACCAAAACATTCTATTGTTCTGAATCCTTAGATTAGTGAAATTATGCATTTTCTAGAACCCCACCACTCGCCTGGGTGTAKTTGCCTGTAGTGCCTGTTATTCCTTTCGGTTACTACCTAGAATTTATAATTCATTATTGGGGAAAATGTAATCGTTAGAACCTCTTGAGCAATTCTCTGAGAACGATTCAAAAACAATACCTTTTATATTATTCACGCTGATTTATTCAAATGAAATATCCAGGTGATCTGCAATTTTAATTCTTTTTACAGGAATTAAATAAACTAAGTACTGTGAAATTCTCCCTGGCATTCTTCCTGGCGGACCACACTAAAATAATTTATTTTCCGATTACAGTAGAATGGTTTCAAAAACTTGAACAACTTCATCTATTAACTAAATCAATGCACCACTAGCTGCGCCGAAGACGTTTCTGGCAAATGTAGCGTGAACAATACTGAAAAATCTGGAGAAGATCAATCAATGCAGCCACAGAACTAAGCAACCTGGTATGACTATTATATGTATACTTTTTTCAACTTTATAATGGAACGATAAGCCAACACTTAGCCTTATTACACCGGGCAGCGGATAGAAAATAATTTAAATTTTATGGATATTTATGTCCTGTTGATTTATGTCACATATCAATAAAAACCGAAACCGACATGCTGCTCCACAAAAGTAAACAGTCACAGACGGAAGTACTTAAAATATCACARAAAATCTCACCTCTCGCTAGAGTAGACACAAACCCTGGTGTATTCAACATAGCAGTCAGTCCCGTCTCTGAATTCATAACCTCCTTCACGCAGCAAACACACTCTAGCTTGGTGAGTGTATCCATGAATGCACACCGTTCTCCAACGGCATCTAAACTGTGAAGCAAAATATCCAATCCTCCGATATTTACAAACTCTTGCAACCATTCTGGCTCACAGGATTTGAGTTTGACATGAAGGCTGGAGTAATTTTTTACWGTAGGGACTTGAAGAAGTTGTAAACAAAGTTCTGGTTCGATATCGTCGAAGCTGTCTGACTCGACTAGTTGCGATTCGGACGATTGTTTGTTAGTAGCTTTCGTAACTGCTTTAGCCCAAGTCGCCATTTTATCGATAATCGCTTAGGASAGTGTGGTGTTACTTTTTCTCTATGGGCATCCTTTGCGAATACAACTTTTCAAAACCTTACGATTCTTAATTAAAATTCGACACCGATGTTAAGGTTCAGCAGACATGCGTACTAGGTGAATCATAATTATTTGGCGAATTGCCGGTTTGTACCGTTAAACCTTTAAACCTTGGAAAAAAATAAGCGAAGAACCTCCAAAACCTTTCCTATTACAACTAGTGACACTAGTGGTAAACAACAAGTTTTAAAAACTTCGAATTGACAGTCGAACGCAATGGGCGTGATGGTGTTATTCAGTTGCGTGACAAATTCAAGTCACGCAAAGGTTTGCTGAAGTATTTTAACGATTGATTTGTGCCTATGAAATGTGTTTGGACAAATGCAGCTCTACATGTGGTCTAATCTTTACAAGCAATACACATGTACCATCACCTCTGGTCTTGCCAGCATTTAGCAAAATAATGTGCCTGGTCATGTTACCCGGGTGTTGTCCGTCCTATGAGACCTAGTCGAGTATCATTAATACCATAGAATAATAAATACTCTTTTAACAAATTGTCTGTTTGGTTTAGATTGTTTTCTGTTATGATTAGAAATAACTAGATATTGTGAATGACAGACATAGGTGCGTCCTACATGGTGTGATGGCAGCTCAAAAGGTCACTAAAAACACTAAGATCCACACAGGGATAGCTAAGCAAAATTTACCTATGCTGTGAATCACATGCTAACATGACTTTTATGGCTTTCTGCCTGTTTATTTTACCAGCTGATACCTTTTTAGCTTTATCATCATCAGTATTATCATTTTTACATTTTCAGGACAGCTTCTAGTCCTAGTAATGATCGATAACCGACATGAAAACGGAATTAAGTACGGTTTAGACGACATTTTTCACCCAATTGAGTCAATTATTTTGATTTTGCTAGTTGCTTTGTGTTTATTTGCGTTTGTTTTTATTTTTTATTTTTCAAGCGTTGTTCAAATTTCTGTTTGCTACGATAGTTGTTACAAGTTGCGTCATCAACAAGCAGGGATAAAAGTTCTTATGTACGTAGAAAAAAGTATCAAATATCATTTTCTGTCCAGGAAAAGGAGATCGATAAATTCCTATAGTTTCTGCGCTGCCCAGTTCTTGCAAACCTGCATTTGTAATCCCACACTCCCGTTCGCTCTTAGCTTGGATGACGTGACATTTGAATCCCTCAACATTTCTCTAATTCGATGTATTCAAAAGGAAACGCGAGATKAAATTTCACATGAAATTATATCAGTTCTTAATTCTCTTGTATCACAGAAATAGCAATTCCCTTGTCTATGTTATTTATATGAGTTTCTAGCTTGTATTTAACAAATAAACCACAGGCTGAAACTTATTTATTTGTTTTATTATATAGATTTTTAGCAAAACTTAAGCAAAAATCCATTTTGTTGCCGTTTTCAAAAATCGCTCGCGCACAATCGTGGTTTATACTCTCATAAACCACACTTTTTTGGCCAATCAGAGCGCGCGTTAGAAATCATCTATATAATCAGGGACGTGATAAAAGCGTGTACATACTGAAAGCTTAGCGTTAATACACCTTGCGACTAGCAGGCGCTTTGGACTTATGTCGTTCCACTTGAWTCAAAATTGCTGAAACACTTACAGTAATGTGAAGTGAACTGCCAAAAAATATCATKCATCAAGATAATTAGAAAGCGCCACAAAATTTACGCTCAAAATGGTTGGATGCACGCAGACAGACCGCACGTCAAACAATTATGCTCTCAACAAGGTTATCGGGAAGGGAGGGGCAGAAGCCAGCAAAACCGCCGCGAATCGATAATTTCAACAGAGCTTTATGTGATGCAAAAGACACATAAACTGCAATATCGCAATCTATCAAAAACAGTTTTCTTGTTATTCCCTCATGTACTCTACAAACGGATACATGAACGGATATGTAGCCGGAAAGTTGTTCCAGTTGTCTGTTTTTTAACATGTGGTCCTCATGTGTTGTCAGCGTATGATGAATATACATCAGTACGACTCGTAACGGTACCTCGACGTATCGTAAGCCATGTTGAATCCGTGTCGTATCGCTACAGAGTGAACGCACTGAGTCCGTGAAATTATASTAATCTAGCTCTTTGCATTATTTTGCGCAGTTTAGTAAATAGTATTTATAAAGAACATTCGTAATTCAAATGATGTTCCGCTTCAGTTGCAGGTTTAAGAGTGCACATTTAATTTGTACAATTTCATAGACTTACGATAGTTTGTTTAATCTAGTATTATACCTCCAGTCATGTCCAGTGTTTTCTGCTCAGACAAAACAATTCAAAAGCGCATCGACTGAACACGGTTCTGTGATATTCAAACTGCTTAAAATATCAATTGAAAAACCTGTTMAAAATGAATCACCTGTCTAGAAGATACTAATGAGCGATTTATTGACTGATTGATATGCGCATTGCCAGTATCTGTTTCAAAATATATTTATATGTATGACGAGTTAAAACATTACCAATTACCGTAACCCAACTACAAATATCACAATACAAATAATTACAACACTTGTTCTTTCCCAGTTGCAGGCTTTTGGTTAAGAATGTTTAAAATTAGAGAGGCAGAGTACAAACTTCAAATAGAAATGATAAGTACATTTTAATCTCCTAAGCAACTAATAAAGGTGATAAGTTGTTAATCTTTTATGAAAGTGAGTTTGTTTTTAAAAGTACTGTAAAACTTACTACTCAAACAGATCCTTTCAAATGAAACTCTAAAACTTACAATCACACAACAAAAGCCCCCCGCACACAGTAAAACAATAACTCACCTGTAACGAGTTGCCTCGTGAAATCTTTGCTTTGGATCATAAASTTCAACCCAGTTTGTCCACGATTCAAGACTTCTTTAATACACCGCACACATTCAAGTTGTACGAAAGCGTCGGTAAATCTCAAAACYTCGCGCTGTCCCAACTTCTCAAGCGCATCAAAGAGAATACTTAGTCCACCATATTCAAGAAAGGACTTCATCCAGGACTCGTCACAGTTTCCAAGTTTGATTTTCAAGCTAGAATAGTTTTTAAGTGAAGGGATGCTTAAAAATTTCACTAGCAATTCAGGTTCTACTTCGTCCAAACGATTTATATCGTCACCATTATCATCGAGCTCGTTGATACCAGATAATTTCTTCACTTTTTTCCATATCGACGTCATTGTATGTGGAAAACGTGTAAACTCATCCAAATTGAMTCCAGTTAAACTGTWCAATCTGCTCTCTGTCTGCGTCTGAAGTAACACAACATTTCCTGTTAAAACACGTGACTTCCAAACTGGGAATACTTGATCGTTGGAATGTGCTTGTAGAATCAACAACAGTGGAGCGGAAGTCGCGGTTTTCTTGTTTTCWCGAATACCTYCAAAACATAAAAAGTCATCAATTATGCAAATGASYTGATCTCTCGTTATATTGGACGCAGTACTTYAGAAAATTTCACTTTTGTGAATCATGCCTGTCACTCAAACTAAATGACATAAACAAAGACAAGTCCTTCGCTACAGTAACTGCAGCTGATTGTATTATTGCGATATTGATATCTCATTGTGAGCGTGTGAATTTCACAGGTTTTTATGAGTGCAGAGCTGTGCGGGGCCATTATACAGTGGTTAATTTCTCAGTACTGCTGCGCTGAGACAAGGCTGCTAATGACTCATGGGTAATACTGCACATACATTGACAATCAACATGAAATAATCAGTATTTTGCTGTCTGATCGAATAAACTGAAATAATTATAAAATTATATTTAGGCGAGAGAACTTACCCTCGTTTCCGGTTAGCTTTTTTATGATATATGGTCTATATATTGGCTAGTATTCCCTCAATGATGGCATGCAGAGTCATAGTTCGTTGCAGATATATGTCCTCTTATTGGCACACTCTTGACGTCACAAAATGTTAAAAACTCAACTGAATGGGTTCAGTACAAAATTTAATGAGAGAACATATAACGAAAAAAACAGTTTTACTCTAATAGTTCCATTTTTTTCAACTGAGCGCTCGCTCGAAACAGCACACTGAATGTCCTTTTATTGACACCAGAGTTCTGTTGACACACTCTAATCAGCCAATCAGCGCACGAGAATGTAGCAACTTAGCGTGCTTCACAAAGTACACCCTAATATACACCCTAATATATAAGATTGGGAATGGAGAACCGCACTTAGTTGAAAATGTATTCAGCTTGCAAGCTTCCGCCCTTGGAAGGTTCCAAAGGGTGTACATGTGGGATCGCACCGCAAAACCATTTTTTACGCGAATCATTAATAAACAAAATGACAGCCAAAAAAGTGATCATTTACGTTATGACGTCCTTGAATCCCTTCGTATCACATTGAGTAACAATCTCGATCCCATGCGAAGGATTTTTTAATGAATTNAACAAAACAAACAAACAAAAAACAACGATGTTCTGAAGAGTTGCTGAAGCAGAATGTGATAAAGGAGAAAGAGACTCTAAAACTTTTCCCCTTACTGAATATCATAATGTGAGGAGCAGATGATTGACAGCTATTGACAAAACTCCTGCTCCATTAAACTCATAGTATACTGACAGTAGCAGACAAGATCTGGCTGAACTACCTTATGAATATGAATAAAGAGAAGAGTTGCCCAAGTCTCTCATCTTTCTCTTTCTGTCGTTAGAATAATAATATTGAAATGATAATCACTTGAAAACAAAGAGCAAGTCTAACCACAACRAAGTCTAATCAACCTTTATTTTCTAATACCCTCATAATTTAGGATGACTTCATGGTRACTGAAGATGTTGCTGCTCCATCACCGGCTTTAGAGAAAGCATAACCAAGATGACACCAAACATACCATGACTGCAAGGTGTGCAAAACATTGGGCATTTCAAGGACACTCATTGGCCTCATTAACAGGATTTGATCCACTGCACAAAAAGACATGAACCTCAATGCCAGATATTTTGTTTTGAAATGCCTGAATCTGAATTTGTTTTCATTTAAGTCACTTTTTACCAAAAGGTTCAACAGTAATAGGCAACTGGCAATGYAGTCTGGAGAGATGCTCTAGCCCATGAATAGCCAAGAAAATTTTGGCTGTAACACTGTCTGCCATAGGAAAATTACATGTGATTGTAGTTGAATGCCATGTGAATTTAGTAAAGTTGTTGTACTTAACCTTTGAAACATTAATGATTAATAATAATTTACTCACAAATTGTTAGTAAGTAATATTCAAAATGCAAAACCATCAAAATAATGTCTGTTTCTGATAGTTTAATATTTCAACAAATAGTKTACTGTCTTCTTACACTGTAAATCATAATAGTTATTTACAAAAGCTATTCACAAAAATTTACAGAAGAGCAAATGCATTATAGTATTATAGTAAAACTATGCTTAAGTGTTCTGGATTTGTGGAATAAAAGCCTATGTTTACTTTCAAAGCATGAGTTATTTGATCAAAGTAGTATGATTTCATTTCTGAAATTCCATGGTTTTACCACCACCTGGTATATCATAACCCAACATTACTTTTAACAATATTGTCAATGCTTTCATTTGTKTTCTAAGATTAGATGTGGTCTTTGTGGTGTGTGTTTTTTGTTTGGCTTTGCTGTTGTACGCTTAGTTTTGTGCTTTTCCATCACTGGGTGTGATGTGCGTGCTGCCTGTCATCCTGAAAGGCTTCGCTTCCTTGACGTTGCCGATTTGTAAACACTTAATCCATGTCAACTTTCCCTCTTGAATTTCAATCTGGCATTTCAATTGACACAATTGGCACTACTGGTTTGCTTTGGTAGTCYGATACTACAGGTTTACGATGCATGTCCTCTAAGGAACTCTCTTGATGGTCTCGCTCTTGTATAAATATACTTCCTGGAAATTTATATGAAACATTGCCATACTCTTGTAGACAWGGACAGATTCCAAGTAAAAACTCACAAAAGTCTTTTCTCATGCCAAACCACCCTAAAAAAAAAAAAACAAGTAAACTCATTAAAACCATAGTGTTAAAACTAACACAAAACCAGCTCTACACAATTCTTTGAAGTAGAGTGGCACATTTAGGCAATGGGTAAGCCTCAGATTGTACTGGAAAAGCCCCCAATTATATCCTTTCATTTGTCCTCTAGTGACATTTATTCTATAGCCAACTTGTATAAAACAACCAGCTTGGAGAGTCCAATAATTTCTTGTTTATCATAGTTATCATGACATTTCATACTAGAGGAGACAAAAAAACCTGATAGTGCTCTTGATATGGCCAATTTGAAGATTTTTACCTTGGCAAGTCATAATATTAGTGTCTTTACTGGAAKTCAAATCATATATTTACTTACAGTGATTTCCTCCTTTGTGGTAGAATGAAGTAGTTAAAAGACTGAGCAGTGATATCTGTAAAGGGGCTACAACTCCTACAAACATATCTTTATTTTCACTGTCTAACCAGTTACTAAGAATAATCTGGAGATTTAATAGAGAAGACAAATTAATAATAAATTATAGGAAACTCACAAAACAGTTAAAGGAAAGTAACTTGAGAGAAAGAAATAAAGAAGGCTTAAAACATAGTGCTGGTGCAACACTGCACTGCCTGAACATGCCACAGGATTCTCATGTCTATATGACATTGTTTATTGTCTTGAAAATGCCATTTATAATGTAGAATCTTAGAAGCCTTAGGCTAAGTGTATCTAGTAAACAATGTAAATATTTCATTCTAAATATAGCAATGGTATTACTTAACTTGAGAGTAACTTAATACTTGGGTYCATGTCATTTTATCTTACCTGAAAAACTAACAAAGGTATCACAAGAAGAACAGAAGCAACAGCAACCATGACGTGACCATGTCTTTGGGCTGGTAAAACTTCTGCTGTCCGTACAAAAATAATAGACCAAATAATGTAGTAGAGAACTAATAAACATAATAGAGAGAGAACTATCCACATAGGAACAAAGAAAAAAAAATCCTACACAAAAGCCATGTCATTTTATCTTACCTGAAAAACTAACAAAGGTATCACAAGAAGAACAGAAGCAACAGCAACCATGACGTGACCATGTCTTTGGGCTGGTAAAACTTCTGCTGTCCGTACAAAAATAATAGACCAAATAATGTAGTAGAGAACTAATAAACATAATAGAGAGAGAACTATCCACATAGGAACAAACACAACCTGCAACAAAGAAGTAGAATATGTAGTTTACCAGGACTTACTACTTACAGTAGTAGGAGAGCCACACAGGAAAACATTTTGGTTARAGACTAGAGATGATACTATGGWCTGAGCAAMCAAGARCCAAWGTCAAGCATGACCYAACCTTAAGMTTTTCATTTTTTTTAMWMTWTTWYAMA